GTTTTTGGGGACTGTTTTGGAAAGAATTCTAAGAGTCTTTTGCTGAATTTTGGGCAGATTCCTGCTACAAATTTAAGTGCCTTTTGATCTTCTTTAATTAATGCTTTTAGTGGCTATTGGTATTCTTTTCTTTGGTCTATAAATAGAAAATGTTTGTGGCTGTTTTAGGAGTGTTATGAGAGTGATATGATGTAATTTTTGGGACAAAAACCTGAGAGGTTTTTACTTTGGAAATCCTGCGGGCTCTTTCCAATCTTCTTCCCCTCCTCCTATGGAAATCTTGCGAGCTCTTTCCAACCTTCGTCTCGGCTTCTAATCTCTTTCTTCTCTCCATAGTAATCATTCCATTGTATCCTTCTTCTCTTAGAAAGCAACTTTAGGTGTCTTGTAAGAGTCATTTGAGTCGTTTGTAAGTGTCCAAGTTGTAATAATTTTTATAATATTAAAATTGTGTTTTGTTTTGTTTAATTTGTCTAATTATTATAAGTTTTGTAAGTTTCTTTTATTCTTAGAAAGGTAATCTCTTTTGTGATCAAAAATTTGGGTCCCTCCCAAAATTTTTGATTGCATCACAGATGCGGGAAGAGACGAGGAACTACGAACTGGAGGGAGTTGGGCATATAGCTTAGATTAGGGAAAAAAAATTAAAGGTGATAATTTTTTGAAATTAAAAAAATTATCCCCTTCACATTTATTTTACGTTTTGAGGGGGTGTTGCGTTGTTTACTACTAAGCCCAAGGGTGCGGCATTGAAGGCCAAGTTATATGCGTGCAAGGGAGGGGAAAGCATAAGTGATGCGTTGGTTGAGAGAATTTGGGGGGGGGGGAAGGGGGAAGTTAGGTTTAGGTTTATTTTACTTTTTTTTTTCTTTTTTTCTATGATAAGCTCTCTTTTGATAGCTTAAAAAAGCTGGTACATGTTGCAAAACCCGAAATTGACAATCGTAACCGTTGCAGGCATCTCGATGCATCACAACGAAATTTACGTGATATTTCAAAGTAGTCGGATTTCGACGAAATTAATTTTATAAAATTGTATATAAAATTTCGAGTGAAACGGTTAAAGCACTTATATGAAATTTTGCTTAGATTTGAAATTAAAAATCACAGAAATGTTTAAAATTTTCAAATAAGACTAAAATGCCCTTCTATTTCTTCATGACCTCTTGTTATAACTTGAGGGCATATAAGACTTTATACTTTTGACTTAAACTATCCACTCTTAAGGGGACTGAAAAAATTTCGGTCCCCATTCGTTCTTGAGGCCGAATGAAAGGGAGAGGGAGGTAGAGAGGGGCGATGGGTTCAAGGCCGGGCGGCTCCGATGGCGATTCGTGAAGGAGATCGAAGGGAGAACGTTGGAAAGGAGTAAGGTGAGTTCCTAAGAGCAATTTCCATTGTTCCCTTTCTTTCAAGAAGGAAAATTAGGGTAATGGAAACTTCAAATCTCTTTAGGAAATTGATAGGGAAGGTTAAGGAGATGATTTTAAGCATGAAAATAAGATTTTTTTTTCTCCAAAATTTTTGGATTTTGAAAATTAGGGTTTCTTTCAAAATGTTTTCGTAAAAGTGGTTCCTAATAACATTAGAAAGCCTCTAACGAAAGTTAAATTAATTTTTATAAGAAATTTCAAGTTTCAAAAATTAGGGTTTTTCCCTAATCATGAAAACCTGTAAGTGTTATGGTTCCAAATAGACTTAGGAAGGATTTTAGAGGTGAAAATTAGGATTTTTACACAAAATGTCATTTTTGTAATTTTAATTTAGATTAATCCGAAAATTAATTGTATTTTCATTAATTAATAAGTGTTTGGGAGAATTTCTTATGCATGTACTATGTAATGGACAAAAAGAAGGTTTTTAATGATATGGATTAGGGTTTTCTCAAAAATTATTTTTTCCTAATTTCTAAGTAATTTAAATCCGAAAATTAGGTTTATTTTAAATAAATTTAAGTTTTAGCAATAGATAAATTTTGAGTGATTAGTGATATTATACAAAATTAGGGAGAGAGAGAGAGAAAGAAAGAGAGCTTATGGTAATTTTATAGGAGAAGAATAATTAAATTTGAGTATTAGTTTTAGCTTATGAATATTAAATTATTTCTTATAGATGTTAATTTTTGTGACCTCGAAGGAAAGAGTACAAGTGAAGAAAATCAATTTTTCAATTTTAAGGTGAGTAAACATGTTTCTATGTTATGGTAATTGTATCGTATCAAATTTTCATTTAATTGTTATTGTAATTTATTCACTTTAATGCATTTCAAATGATTTAATATTCCATCTCTCCCATATTAAGTGATCCACTATATTACTGCATAAAACATAAGATAGAACATAGTATTATTATATATGGATATGATTTGATTGATATATTGAATGATTACATGTTCATGTTGAAATGATGGAGCTCACCTCCTTATGGTACTAGCTGGGCATGTTGTACCCGTGCACGTTAAAATGAAAAAGGTTATGGAAAAATATATGGAATGAGAAAGTTACAAATATTAATATGATGAATGTAAACTGAATATGAAATGATATGAATTTATGATTTATGCATATGTTTTAATAATATGTTTATAGAAAATTAAATTTATAATATGTTTAAATGAAAGTGACATCTAGCATATTACTTCAACTACCTTAAATTACTATATTTTAGAGGCATGCGTTATTCGTTAAGCTTTGACTTATTCATGTTGCTCTAACTTTTATTTCAGGTAAGTTTAAGGTAATCCAATGAGTAGATAATGCGGAAATGTCTACCGTACAAGTAAGGCACAAGAAGAAAGGTAATTAAATTTAGTTATATCAGCAGTTTAGTGGCTCTTTCAATATTATTGTGATAGCTTTATGGGAATTAAAAATTAGATCTACCGTCAGACCATCTATTCCCACCTCATTAATTTGAGACCCCGGGCCAGGTCGTGACACATGTACCAAAAAAGCCCCCTCAACTATTTGTTTCATGATTTTGACTTTCTAATCACAATGTTTTGGACAACTTCTCGATGTCACATCTTTCGCTCGCTACTTTCATCATATTTTATTGGTTTGACCTCTAAGCGGCTATCGAGGTCAACATACAACAATTGAGCTGTTGTGTTAAGATTAAAGGGAGATTGTTATGTGTGGAATCTAATTGTGTTGATCAATCTGGTTATTATATTGACTCGGACCTCAAAGCTTATCGTGTTCGTTGGGGGTGTGGGGGGTTTAGCCCTTGCTTGAGTTCCGGTGCAAAGCCCTTATTGCAAAACTTCCAAAAAAAAAAAATTTTGTACTGCACCCCGGTGCTGCATACCCAAGCGCCCTGTCGCTATGTTTCCGAGTGCCCCAGCACCAAACAACATAAAGTAGAGCACCGCAACAGCCTAGATTTGACATCGCAATGGTGCAAGACAGAAGCTTGAGTGTCACAATGCTACGAGATGGACTAAATGGTTTCTCTCGTTTTTTGAAGGGTTACGTCGCTTGGGATTATTTTACTTGATTTTCTCTTGTATTTTGAGTTGTTAGATATTGAGAATGGTGCATGTGAGAAGAGAAGCAAGGAGAGAGTGAGAGAGAAGAGAGATCTGTACTTATTTCTCCTGATTATCATAGTTGATTTCTTGGTGTGGTGTGGCTCCATAGTTTTTCCCTATTTTGGGTTTTTCTTTGTAAATCATGGTGTCCTTTACTTTTTCGCTGCTTTTACTTTATTGCTTGTTTCGTCATTGTGGCGTTTCTCCTCATCTCACCCCCAACAGAGATTAGAAATCAAGTTCTTCAATGAAGCATTAAAGAGTTACGATGACATTCCTAATGGCTAGATTGCTACTTAAAAGATAGCTTTTTCACAACGCCAAATAACTTGATGGATGTTGATATGCATGATTAAAAAACTGAAACTAATACCACAAACATCACTTTAGTTTCTTAGATGCAGACCTATGGAACCAATTTTAATAAACGTGTCTTTAGCACCATACTCGCCCCAGTCCATATATTCAAGAATTCTTCTGCTTCCAGCAAGCTGCAGGGGCATCCCAGCAAGCGCACCTTCTCCCATAGATCCTTGAACACAGACCTAGCAAAAGTGACAAAAATGGTAAACCCGGAATTACCAACAGAATATGCCCTTATCCAAATTTCTAAAACAGAATGGCATACCTTTACACGCTTTCCATCATCAGCGAATGAAAGGGCAAGAGTTCGTACAAGTTCCATTAGGGTGCCAATCCGATAGACATCCTGAATATGGAAGGTTTTATGAGATCTGTGATATATAAAAATTTTCAGTAGGACTTTTTTTTTCTTTTCTAGGGAATTTAGTGGCAGAAACAGGAGTGAAAACCTTACCATTTCAGGGTTAAGCTCAGGAATGTTAATCTCCACCTGCAGGTCCATTAATTTAGCTAAAGTAATTTAGACATACTACCAAATAACATTTTATTTATCAAAATGTAACAAACTACATAAAAAAACTTTTAAGAATCTCTGCAACAAAGCTGTATGCAAATGAGCCAAACTTTTAAAGTGAGAAAAGTTGAGAATAGGGAGTTGTGTGCGTGTGTGTGTGAGAGAGAGTATAGAGTGTGTCATATCTTTATGCTACATAGTATAGGAAAAACAAGAGAGAAACTCGCAAGTAAAAAGTAGATGGAATGAGAATCCATTTCATAATAGGTTTTCTTCATATTTTATTTCTTTTATAATTTTAGTATAACTGAGAGGATGAAAGAGAAACAAAAGGTAAAAAATAGATAGGATGAGTCAAATCATATCTGTCTAATTCACCTCATGTCTATTCTAACACTATCTATTTGTATAGATATTATATATTAAGTCAAAAAAGAGAGAGAACTCATTTGAAGTATTTCAAATCCACAAGTAATGAGAGGCTCCATTTCAAAATTAACCACTCACCAAGATTTTTAAGATTTATTATTCCTTTAATGGAGGAAGAAAGCATTCTTCATTTAAAAGTTATCATGAAAAGGTAGTCCAATCAGATCTATAAAACCTATTTAATAACTAATGTAATCTGTATATCAAGTACTATTTCTTAGTTAATTAATATACATAATGAATTTGATAATCACTTTTGTTCTCTGATTATTAATGTATTTAATTTATTTTAAATTAAACCTTAAATATTTAATAGACCAAAATAATAATGTTTTTCATATTTAAAATCTAACATAAGGTGAAAATTCAATTTTAAAAAATGAGACTCAAACATAATTTGTAATTTATATATTAGTCATTAAATAAAAGATCAAAATAGTCCCCCGCCTATTAATAAATGTCAATTTAGTCTCAGAGTTTCACATTGCCCTATTTTAGTTCCTCAACAATTAAAAATTGTCCAATTTGGTCCCTCGATTAAATTTATCATTTAAATTAACGAAAAAAGCCGCAATCATCGCTTTTTTATGAGTATTTTAGAAAAAAAAAAATTTATTACTCAATGTTAAAACGAGAGATTTATGAGGGAAAAGCTTAAGCTTTATTGCATGAATTCTTCCCTATATATAGATATATACAAGATATTAGAAAAGGAAACAAATAACTACATAATAATGAAATATAACTCTTCCTAAATCAGTTGCCTATCTATGGAAGGTGTTTCAATGTGATTCATGAGTGCTTCCCACGGATTGCTCTTTGTGATCGTCAGATCCTTTCCTCTAGTAACGGTTGGATTTCAACACTCAATCCCTCGCCTTCCCACTATAATCCACTGTAGACAAAATTGTGCCAGCGAGAAGACCTATTGCTACGAGCAATGCGACATGCTATAACATATAGAGACTGCGAGCGTGAACCGATATGATTCCACAGGAGATGGAACGCTATGCTACTGCAAGGGAGATGAAATGCTTCGATCCGTCAAGCTTTGACGCGCTAAGAGCAAGGTGACTGGTTATCGATTCAGTATAATTCCGTAGAGACAAACATTGGAAAGCGACAAGCTGCTGCGAGCAACCACGATGTGCTTCGACATCAAGAGATAGAGACAACTAGCAATGTGTGACATCCACAAGGAGATAGAGACACAATTAATGCTAGGTTTGCTTATCTTCCTAATATCCCTATTCATACAATTTTGATCTTTTTATTCTCAGGAATTATTTTTTCAAAAAGATAAAAATAATTTGTAATGTTAGGAACTATTTGTTTAGTTTACAAAATATTTTTTATTAATTATTCATCCTTATTATTTAATAGATTAACTTTCATTCAGATATTTATATATATTATAATTTATTGAATAATAAAATAGAATAACATAAGCAATGTCATCTCACATTCAGTTGTACTGCCTAAAATACTCTCATATTTAACTTTAGAATGAACTTTAACTCTTATTTTATACCTTATGACTAAATTGGATCACTTTTTAATAGTTAGGGAACTAAATTGGGACAATGCGAAACTCTGAGACTAAATTGATTATTTATTAATAATCAGGTGACTATTTTAAGCTTTTACTTATTAGTCCATTTTTATTAATCCAATATATTGTTAATTAATATAAATAATCTAATTGAAAAAAGCTTTCTCTTTAATAAATAGTTAAAGTATTAAATTAATCATAAAACTAAATTTAAATATCATTAACATTGAAATAAAATGCGACTATTGATCTAATTCCAAATATGAAATGGAACAAACTATTTCAAAAGAGTTTTAGCCATATTCTATCAACTAAGGAGGAATGTCAAGACTTTGAGAGATAACATAGTCAAGTAAACTTTATGCTTATTGGATACAAAGTTTGACTACATTATAGTGGCTATTGAAGAGTTAAAGGACATGTTCCTCACAAAGCCGTAAAAGGAAAAATCTTAGAAAATTTTTTTGTTGAACATCTTATTTCCGCAAATTCTCCCTTTAGTAACGATTTACTTGATGAGCAAATTTTACTCATTCATGAAAATTAAAAGCTACAAATCTAGGAATTATATTTTCATGGAGCATCATCGGTCAAACCTGCCCTTCCAAATGCACTAGCTGGCTTTGGTCTTAACTTTATACTGTCAAACAGAAGTATAATGAGATATTTATTCAACTTGATTAAACCTCAAACTAATAATAAAGTCGAGTATGAATTTAGTGGTAGATCTCAAAACTGTCATTTCAATGGGAATACAAACTATTCAAATCTTCAACAATTTTTAGCTTACCATAAATCATGTATTGGACATATTCTAGATAAACTAGCTTGAGCTAGCCCATTACCATAAACAAATTCTTGAGCTCATGAAACAAATTCAAAACTTCACTTTAACCTGAGTCTCCCATTCTTAGAATAACAAGACGAATTCCTTAGCCAAATTGGCCAAAGAAATGATGAGCATGAAAGATGAGTATGCGTTGATTGGAGTCCACACTTATTGGGTACTACAACTAGCAATTCAATAAACTCACAAGGGATCATCACATTCAAGCTAGTGGGATACAACTCTAATTGTTTCTCATACTCCTTCATAAACTATCTCCCAAAGCCACTAAAATGAGCCTCAAACTATCAAAAAAGAGCATTATTCCTAGAAGGTTTCATAATCACGATAAGAGGTTTTTATGGTAGAAGAAAAAAAAAGATTGACGACAACTTTTTATCAACTATTTCAAAGAAAGCAAATTTCTAACAAATAAATTTTTAACCATACAGAATAGAAAGAGGTACAAGAGTATATGTTTGTCAACGACACTCTTTACCATAGATCCTTTGATTAAATATGACTTAGATGTTTGGAGATCAAAGAAGTTAACGAGGTTGCAATCCAAGTTCACGAGGGACTTTAAGATGTGCACTATTCAGATCCCAAAATAGTTATTAAAATCAAAAGAATGTACTACAATTAGCCTTTGATGGTGAAAGATAGCATTAATCATATCCATTGTCACATAATACATCAACAGCAAAATCCTTTGCACCCTGCAATTACATCATGAACACTTGAACTTTGGAGTATGGACATAATTTGGTCAACCAATCAACAACCATCTATTGGACACTTTTCACATTAGTCGTGATTGGCTCCTTTGCCAAAAGGGATGAAATGAATCGATTCAAAGAAGCAATCATTGAACATGTTATTAATCTCTCTACCAATAAAATAGTCCACAGAATTTGTGTATCACGTCATATTAACTCAGATTAATAATCCAGCTTTTAAAAGCATCAAAATATACATGTTTGTCGAACGACATAAGATCAAATGATGGTATTCATCAATTTACAATCCAATGAAAAATAGCTTGGCCGAGGCCTTCAACATGTTAGTAAAGCAACTCAAGAAATTTTTCACAAAGAACAAAAGAGAATAATATGCCAAAATGATTGAAGCATTTAAAGTGTATTGAACTACCAATAATACACCAATAACAGCCACTATTTACACGTTGGTGTATAGAGCTAAAGCAATATTATCACTTGAGGTTAAGCTGTTATTACTTTGAGTAGCATCCAAAACAATCTCACTCAATAGCATAATAATCATTTGTGAATGAAAGAGTTCATGCACTTCATGAAATTAGAACCTAAGCTTAGCATAGTCTTAAAGTTTATCGAGCAAAGATGTCGAGACTTTTTTATCGTTTGGTGAACACCATGACATAGGATGAATGATATCTCTATAATATTAAATTCAAGTCTTCCAGTTCAACATGATAAATTATCTTTTGTAAAGAAAATTCATATAGCATTAATTCACATAACACTAATAATAAACAATAAAATAATAACAGTATTTGATGCATCACATGTAGAAGCAAATTTCATTACTGTAATTAAAAGACATGAGCACTCACCTCGAACTTAGGAAATAATCTGCTTCAATTTTACTACTAATTTCAATGATGGTGGATTTAAATCCCATAAAAAATCAATTCATTAAATTTAATTAATTATTTTCTCTTAATTTCTCTAACTTAATATTTTAAAACTACACTTTTTAAATATATTTTAATTCTTAAAAATAATCATAGAGTATTTCACTAATTAAGATTTCTTTGATTATTAAATTTTAAAATAAATGTTCTCTCTCTCTTTCTCAAAGTAGCTAATTAAAGTCTCTAATTGCTCTTGCATTTAATTGATTTCTAAAATGTTTATAACAATTAAAATATCATATATTAAAATTTACACACATACTTTCTCCCTCTACTACTCTATATTTTTATTTAATTAATATTTTCTATATCATAAATATGTAATTTATCACTAATCATTCAATTCCTTATTTGTATAATGAATTTTCCTAAATAGTATTTTCAATTAAAATCCATATTTTTTAAAATATCACTCTCTCTAATTATTTTCTTTTAAAATATTCAATTTAAATTTGATTATTATTATTTTCTAAACAAATTTCTTATATTAAGAT